AAATAGCCATGCCCATTTGAATACTTTAGTCAAGAGGAGAATGAACAATTGCAATTTCCAAATCTCAATAACATCTAAATCAAACCTGATAGCAGTTATTTCCTAAGAGGGACTAAAGATATGCTAAAATGGACATTTATCTTATTCATTCATGTTAAAAGCTAGGAATATTTGTGATGACATTAGACTAAACCTGATCCCGGCTAAGGCCAAATCGCCAAATGGCTTTGTAAAAAAAAAAAAATGCAGCTACAGGTGGGTACAAGCCAAGTACTTGCCATTTTTTGTGTACTTGGTACTTGACTTGACTTGTTCGACTAGTAAAATTTTGGACTTGTACTTGGTTTATCAAAAATGAATACTTGTACTTTCAAGTATTTGCTAAAAATGATATACTTGCAAGTACTTGCTCCGTTTTACTACTTGTTGTTTCTGAACTAATTTATAAATTATTATATAATTATTTGTAAATTATTTAATAATAGTTTATTAATTTTAGCTACTTAAACTTTATATATGAATTTTTAAAAAAAATTAGTTAGTTATAATTATAAACTAAACAATTTTTAATAAAGAATATTTATTTACTTTTCATATGTTTTAAATTGATAAAGGATAAATATAAAATTAAAATAAAACACTAAAATATTTCTATAATATATCACGTTTAATTCATTTATTTTCTAAACAAGTAATTTGATTATAATTTAGAGATTTGTTTTCTCTAAAAAGTAAAAAAAATGGATGATAAATAAAGTAATAAGCCACGAGTAATAAACCAACATCGCCAAATAGTTATTTTCATTTTAGTACTTAGTACTTGATTGTACTTGCAAGTAAATGAAATAAACAACTTGATACTCGAATTACACATAACGAATACTTGACTTTAAAAACCAAGTACGAATCAAGTAGCGTAACAAACAATTGTGTCCACCCCTAGTCTAAGTTTAGCAATAGCGCGGTTAGGACCAGACTAAATCAAGATTAGGACAATACGGTTCGACTCTATTTGCCCATCGCGTCATCCCTATTTCCTGGAAACCAAATCACAGCCATATGGTTGAAGGATTGGGCGTAAGACCTTTATCCACCGAGGGAATATCACTATCATCTATCTATAGTTCAATTATGACTCAAGATTGCTTTGTTTTGCTTTAAATTTCTTTAGAATCATTTCTCATGTCATGGTGGCCGCTTCTCTCCGACCACATCAGAGATCTCACTGGTCACACCAAAGACCCAAAAATAAAAATAATACTTAAAATTCAGAAAACATATCTATACAAAACAATCTCCTATAAGATCAACATTCAAGATTTGGTTATCTTATTTATTAAATGCATGTTTTGGGTTTTTTAAGTAAAGTAAAAGTTGCAACTTTAGGACTAACCTCGAGAATGCAGAAAAGCAAAATAGGAACTCAAAATCAGCAAATGGGTATTTTGTTTTTTGGACCAACGACTGGATCCTACTTTTCTTTTGAGACTGCAAACAATATCCAATCCTCATTTTAAATTTATTATGTTACTTTGAGACAGAACTTGATGCTTCAGAATGTTCCAAGTACCATGTGATTAAAAATACATTGCTATAACAAAATTATAAGAAATTTAAATGACAACAGTAAAGAAAAGGGAAGTCAGATAAAGAAAAAGATAGTCCCTAATGAATAGATGAAGTAAGATAAAGAAAATTTAATAATTAAGGGAACTATATCAAAACCAAAGTGGGTCTTTTTGAATCATTGCATTGTGGCTTAAGATCTGTGAATGAATCACCAGGTTGGAAAATAGCATTTAGAGTCATAAGTAGCATAAACAAAACAAGACTTTAGTTTTCATTGTATCTTAAACTTAACAAGCAATTATCAAATCTCTCAAACTAAAATGTTTTGATAATTTCTATTTTCTACGGTCAAGACTATAGTTTACATTGTATCCTACACTAAAAAAACTACATAGTATCGCAGGCAAAACCGACAATGAGGCGTTACGTTATGATTGTTTTTGATACTGATGTGATGTTTGTGAGAAGATAAAGATGCAACCGATGTTGTTGCATAAAAAAGTGAGCTATGAAGCCTAAAGTGGATAGGGAAGATCTTAGAATAATATAAAGAATCATTCTTAAAGAGAATATAAACAATGTATTTGTTTCTTTTAGAAGAGGGTGGATTGCTCTGTTGTACATTTGTTTTGCCTAATTTTAATGCTCTATATGAGTAGCTTGCTCCTGTGGGCTGTAGTAATGGAACACAGGAACAGTACCAACGGCTTGCATGGTCACGGCTCCGGTCCACTGGTTTCTGCTGTTTAACAAAAGAAAACAACAAAACCACTTTCCTTAGCAACAAAGGAATTATGACATACCAAGAATCCACAGCATAAAAGGGCGTTAACTTGAATGATTATTATGGGTTAACAAAAAGTTAAAGGCATTGTATATTTCGAAGTACAAATTGTGAAATCAAGTAAAAAGCATTTGATGGGTGAATATGCCATATTTGAAACCAGATCAGAAAAGAATGTTAGGACACACCACCTTTTTTGTTTGGACATCTGAAATTTTCATTAAACACAAAGACGTACGCATTATCGAATACAGTGACAACAAAAATTTCCTGGAGGCTAAAATTACAAACCACTGATATTTGAAGTCAGAAATGTTTTAAAAATTTTATCCAATATAAAAAATAATTTACGAACGAAATAAACCGAGCTTAAAACATCAAACAACCAAAGAAAAATCTTTATTTCTGGTGAACTGAGACTTACCGAAAATACCTATAGCCAATCATCGATTAAATAGTCCTCTTAAAACCTACTTTTTGATTCTAAATAACCAAAACTTCATATCCCATAAGATAGAGACGCATAATCTTTCAGATGTCGATAATCAAGAATTACACACCTAGTTAGTAAACCATTACACCGTAACTTATCGTTTTCATGTTGTTTTGTTTATAACAACTTTGCATAGATCCAAAAATGAACATGTGATACAATAGAGCTATTAGCACCATATTAAACTGGCTTATAACCAAATCTTATGATTATGCTTGGCAGTTTTTAGATGGGTGAATTCAGCTGAATTTGAAGTTTTCCGTTGGAACAATCCATCTTCAAATTTTCATTTCATCTTGTTTTAGATGTTCTAAATTGGCTCATAACCAAATTTGCTGAATATGCTACAGTTTTTAGATGATGAAAACAAATAATCTCACTAGACATGGTCACTGCAAAATAACAAGTGTTTATGAAAGTATGAATATACTCCCTCTGTTTCATAATAAGTGTCATTTTAGACTTCGGCACACGAATTAAGAAAACAATTAATTTTGTATATTTCCTATATAAAAACACAATTACTTATACACCTAACCATATTTTAACCAATAGAAAAATAGATTATAGAATAAAGTTAATAAATTTTGCATTGAAAACCGAAAACGACACTTTTTTTGTAACGAAAATTTTTCTTGAAACGGAGGGAGTAGTTAGGAAGGTCTCTTCGAAGCCCAAAGTGACAAATTCTTCGGTCAAGATTGTTGGAATGACAATAATATGGTTAGAGAAAAGCAAAGGACAAATGTTGAGTGATGTAGGGAAACCAATGAAAAAAGATACTTAACTTCTTAGCGGTTTTCGTGTACCGAACTCTTTTGTACAATCATTGTCAGATTCTTCCAATAACAGCCTTAATCTTACTTAGATTTCCAAAGCAATGTTTATTTAAGTGAATCTAAATTCCCCAAGGACCCCATTGTGCACTTTACACTTTAAAGCTCCCCTCCAAATCCCAAGAACTGATATATATAACAAGACTATATCTACAGGAAGGAACACACATGAAAGCAGAAGGGATACAATCTCATTCTCATTATCTCTAACCCTCTCTTTTTTTTTTTGGAGAAAAGAAAGATACTCTTTGATTCTTCTTGTCTGCCTAAGAACAGAAATGCTGGGTTACAGTACAAGAACGTTGCTTTGTCTTCTTGTCTGCATAGGCTTACTATCAGACAGCAGATATAACGTCTCAGCCTTCAGACAAATACAAGGAGAAGAAGCTGGAGTTGAGCCAGATATTCAGCCCAATATTCATTCTAGTCACTACCGTGAAGGTCAAGGAATGTTCAGTGGAAACCGACGCATTCTTGAGGAGGTTAACAAGAATAAAGTTAAAGCAGAGAAGACACAAGCACAAAAGGATCAGACAGAGGACTCGTTCAAATCAAGCAAGAGACGTGTAAGACGAGGATCAGATCCTATCCACAACAAGTCTCAGCCACTTTCTTGAGTGGCAATGTGGTACAACAACAATCAAATATAGAAAAGAAAGGTGCAACAATCAAACCTTATCAAGCTGGAGGTAGATTAGTTGTTTTTTTTGTTTCTTAGGTTTTGTTTTCAAGTATAGGTTTGATAAAAACACAGAACGTTAGCTGTTGAAGGACAGCATTGTCTGGAGAATACATATTTGTTTTTCAATACATTTCTTTTGACTAAAGTCTTCACTCTTTTGTTTGCATTAGTTCTAAGTTTCTTGATAAGTTTTGTTCTTTTTCTGCATTGCTCTGGCTCCAGCAAAAATATATCTTGTGTATATACAATATCTCAAGAGTTTTGATTGTCTACAACTTCACTGTAAAACCTCTCTTTTACCTCCGTAAAAAAACATTTGACCTTAAAAGGTAACCACTTATATCGTTCTAACTCTTATCAACAAGTGAAAATTGAAAATCGAAGAAAAATAAATTTCTCTAAGCAAACTCTTGCAAAGTGAAAATTAAAAATCCAAGAAAAATAAATTTCTGTAAGCAAACTCTTGCAAAGCGAAATTGAAAATCCAAGAAAATTAAATTTCTCTAAGCAAACTCTTGCCTGCAAGAAACCTTAAACCTAGATTTGATAGAACAGAGAAGTTTAGGGTTCAAAATTTATATTCCTTTCTTCTTCTCCTCGTTGATTCCTTTAAGCAATTGTAGTCACAGGAATGTTTTATTGGAAGTGTAGTGTTTACAATTACATGCGATGCGACCCAACTACGGATCAGTACCCAACTAGGCAACTATGGGATCAGTTGCCGACGGCGTAGATGTTTAACCGTTACTAGAGATTCAATTATTATTTGCTTAATTTAGTTATTTAAAGCCCAGCCGACAAGAAGAAATTTACTGGGCCGGTTCATTCAGGTGTTTTGTGCTCGACGATTTATATTCTTTCTTTTTTTATCGAATAAGTGACGATTATGGTTTGACGGAAGACTTGTTTGTGAAATAACTAAAAAAATAATATTAGTTTATTAGAAAAAGAGTAGAGAGAGCTAGAAAGAAAGAAGAGGATAAAGAGTGTAATTTTAGTTAGTAAACTATGGTGTTTTTGTTAGTCATTAAGTGCAATTTCCATTTGACCAATTTCGGTTTAAAACCTACAAAAAACTATGCATAGTAAAAAGACTAAAAATAGATAATTTGATGAAACATAATTGTTAATAGTTCTTCATTTGATGGTGATAAAATTCTAAATAAGGTAATCTTTTTAACTATGCTATTATCAATAGAGTAATATAAAAAGTTGTCTTTTTCAGTGGCTCCTAGTGAAGTAATAAAAAGAGAGCGACAATCATTCTTAACTTAGTCTGAGTCATACTATTTTTGGATTATTACGAAGATAATCACTCTTAGATTCAACTATTCCATAAGCAAACATAGAACTTTTATCTGAAAATCATTAGTCATTCATACGCAAATATATATATATATATGTTAGTTTAATTTAGATTCCTATTGGTGTATTTTTTCTATATTTATTTTAGTAATTCTTATTGTTTAGAATTGTTTGAATACAATGTTTAATAATAAAATCCAGTTTAGAAAAAAAATAACTAAAAGTACACACTCTCATCAACAAAAATATGGTGATATATATGAAATTTTGCCAGTCTACTTTGTATAAGTAATTTATTGTAAACTTAAATTCTAGTTTGGTAGTATGCTCAGAAAACCAAACCACACTTATGTCTGAATGGTAACAGGAGTTGACAAACAGAAGAATTATAGTAAACAAGGTGCTGAAAGAACAAGACATAAATTATAACCATAACAAGTGAACTGGTCGAAAGGTACGTAGTATCTTTTGGTAATATATTTTGTACTATTATACATTAAATTTCGAAAATTCTCGACTATTAACATTTAACCTTGAGCTTGACGAAATTTATGAACTTATATCATGGGCAATTTTATATGATGATGAGTTGTATACTTTATAATATTTAAAGTTCTTGGAATATGAAATTCATATTGTGGCGATGGAGTTTATCATCTTCACATTTATAAAAGATGATTATGATTCGACTGTTTTCTTTTTCGTAATTTGTAATATAGTTTAATATATTTTATGTTTTTTGAAATTTAGTTTAGATATATAATTCATGTGTGGAAAACCCAAATATAAAAACCTTGGTTTATTAAATTTAGTTTTACACGTTATGTAATTATTTTGTTTAAAAAGTTATTTAGCTAAAAAAAAAAGAAAGTTATTTAGCTAAAGTGCTTATGTTATTGAAGATGTTCTTATAGTGTTCACATACATGTCATGTTTCCAACGTGAGAAATAATCATTACAACTAGATAATAGCTATAGGATACATATAAACGTAACGCCAAAATGGCCCATAATTATTCGACATCTAAATTTCGGCTATACTTGACGTTTTGTTCCAATCCTAGTGGCAAAATTGCGTGATGCGCGTGCCATTTTGGTCATTGACAAGATCGTTAGGACAATGTTCTAATCCATATTAATGATGCTGTTTGACCCACCAGTCTTATAATTCAGAGCTTAAAAGATTCTAATTGTAAATCTAAATTAAATAAATTGTTACATCAATGTCATGTCGACGAAATTATTAGCAGAATTATGAACTCGATTATTATTGTGTGGTTAAATATCGTCGATAGTTGCGATTTGGATCCTAATTAGGCGTGATTGGTGACTAGGTTTATCATAAACGACAAAACGTAAACCAACTTTAATTTGTCCTATTTAATACTCTTTTCATACTCGATCCGTTTTGTTTTATTAATGGTCGTTTTAGGTTTATACACACAGATTTAAAAATATTTAATTTTACCTATTTTAAAAATAAATTATGATTTATACATCTAATCACATTTTAATCAATAAAAAAAATTATATATAAAATCAATAAATTTTACAATAAATTATAAAACAACTCTTATTTTAAAATTAAAGTTATACTCTACAATGATAAATAAATTGAAACAGAGATAATATTTATGTACACAGAACACTGATATCAATTTACTTAGAACATTTCCATTGATAGTATATAAACTTGAGTTCGCAATATATATATATATATATATATATATATATATATGTTGACTTAAGCTTGTAGATAACGTCGAATACAAGATAAGTCCTAATGAGCTTAGGATTAGGAGATTTAAAGTTATCCGAATATTGTGTTCCCTAATGAGTTTTAGGTATTTGTGTTCTCTATATAAAGGAAATATCGACGTGTGATATTACTTGAGAGTTTGAGATTTTGAGGTGCTTTAGTTTTGTGCAAGTTTCTNTAGGAGATTTAAAGTTATCCGAATATTGTGTTCCCTAATGAGTTTTAGGTATTTGTGTTCTCTATATAAAGGAAATATCGACGTGTGATATTACTTGAGAGTTTGAGATTTTGAGGTGCTTTAGTTTTGTGCAAGTTTCTAAGGCAATAAGAGATTTGAGTTGTGTTTCTGAATATCTGTGTCTTTGAGGTTCAATAATTGGTATCAGAGCATTACTACAATCTCAGAGAAAAGGATCCGAATTCTTCAAAAGAACAAGATATGGGAGACAAAGATATAGTTGCAGCAACAAGTAAAACCAAAGAGAATAGTCATTCGACTATTCAATGTCCCATGCTCACCACCACAAACTATACGGTGTGGAGTATGCGAATGAAGGTGGCGCTTAAGGTGCATAAGGTGTGGGAGACAATAGAACCAGGGAAGGAAGATGGAGAGAAGAATGACATGGCCAGGGCACTTCTGTTCCAGTCCATACCAGAAGCTCTACTTCTACAAGTTGGGAACCTTGAGACATCAAAAGAAATATGGGAGGCAATAAAGGCCAGATACGTGGGAGCAGATAGAGTTAGAGAAGCTAGATTGCAGACTCTAATGGACAATTTCACTCGTCTGAAGATGAAGGAGACAGACTCGATTGATGACTTCTCAGGGAAGCTTGCAGAGATCTCATCGAAATCTGCTTCATTAGGAGAGATCATAGAAGAATCAAAATTGGTGAAAAAATTTTTGACGTCTCTTCCAAGAAAGAAGTACATACATATCACTGCAACCCTTGAGCAGGTTCTTGACCTCAACACCACGACCTTTGAGGACATTGTTGGAAGGCTAAAGGCCTTTGAGGAGAGAATCCAAGATGAAGACCAACAAGAAGATCAAAGCAAACTCTTGTATACCAACTCGGAACCACAAGCTAATCAAGAGAGCTTTGACAGAACTAGAGGAAGAGGTGGAAGGTTTGGCAACAGAGGAAGAGGTAGAGGTAGATGGAACAACCAAAGAGACTGGAAGGAAGGTAGAGACACGACAAAAGTGGTGTGTTTTCGATGTGATAAGACTGGTCATTACGCCTACAACTGTCCTGACCGTCTTCTTAAACTCCAAGAAACACAAGAAACAGATAACGAGAGCACTAGAGAAGCTGAGGAGCTGATGATAATTGAGATGGAGGCTGTGGAACTGTTGATGAACGAGATTGTTTATCTAAATGAAGAGAATGTGACACCAAGCAAGTTTGAGACAACTACTGATGGAGAACACATGTGGTACTTAGATAACGGAGCCAGTAATCACATGTCTGGAAAGCGCGAATACTTCACCATATTAAACGAGAAGGTCACCGGGAAAGTAAGATTTGGAGATGACTCGAGGATAGACATAAAAGGGAAGGGTTCAATTTGCTTTGTGACTAAAGAAGGTAAACGGAAGACTCTGAATAATGTCTACTACATACCTGACTTGAGAAGCAACATCATCAGCTTGGGTCAAGCAACAGAATCAGGCTGTGAAGTGCGTATGAAAGACAGTTACCTTACAATACATGATCGAGATGGAAGGTTACTAGTAACGGCAAACAGATCAAGAAACCGTTTGTACAAGGTAACAATGAAGGTTGATGATACAACATGTCTGCAAGTATCTTTAAGCGAAGAGTCTATGAATTGGCATGCAAGACTTGGGCATGTCAACCTGGAGTCTATGAAGACCATGATCAACAAAGGACTTGTTACAGGTATACCTAACATAGATATCAACAAGAGAACCTGCGCATCATGTATTTTAGGGAAGCAAACCAGACACAGCTTTCCCAAAACTACACTGTACCGTGCAAAGAATGCTCTGGAACTTGTCCACGGTGATTTATGTGGACCTGTCTCACCAACAACAGCTGGAGGAAATAGGTATGTGTTTGTGCTAATTGATGATTGCACACGCTACATGTGGTCTATTCTTCTGAGAGAAAAAAGTGAAGCTTTTGAGAAGTTTAAAGTGTTCAAGAAGACTGTTGAAAGGGAAACAGG